GGGAAAACTGGAAATAATCCAAAAGTCCTTCAACCAGTGAATGAATAAATGAACTGTGACACATTCACAAAATGAAATACTACTTGGCAATGAAAAGTAAACTGCTGATACATGCAGCAACATGGATGAATCTTGGATACATTTTGCTAAGAACCCACATCCCAAGTGCTACATCAGATAGGATTCCATTTAAATGACATTCTGGGAAAGGCAAAACTATAGGCACTGACAAGAGATTAGTGGTCATCAGAAGTCGGGGGTGGCAGGAGGTATTGACTACATAGGGACAAGCACAAGAGGAATGTTTGAGACAATGGAACTGTTCTGTATGTTCAATTGTGGGAGTGGTTACACAACTCTATGCATGTGTCAAAACTCATAGAATTGTACACCATAAAGAGAACTTTACTATACATAAAAATATATATATAAGTTAGTTAGGATAGTGGCTTCTCTTGGAGTAGGAATAGTGACTAGAAGGTAGCTGTGGGGGGCACCTGGGATGCTGGTCGTGTTCTGCTTTTTGAGCTTTATGCTAGTTATTACATGGGCGATGTTGGTTTGTAAAAATTCACTGAGGTATATATACACTGACAATATTAATACATTTTATATGTGTATATTATACTTTATTTTCTGAGGAAGGTTAGCCCTGAGCTAACATCTGTGCCCATCTTCCTCTACTTTATATGTGGGACGCCTGCCACAGCATGGCTTGGTAAGCGGTGTTAGGGTTTGAACTGGCGAACCCTGGGCCACTGAAGTGGTGTGTGCAAACTTCACTGGTACACCACCAGGCCGCCCCCTGTTATACTTTAATAAAAACAAAGAAACCTGGTGGGAGGGAATTCTAGCGTTCACTGTCCTCTTGTCTTCCTCCCCTAATTCTTCCTATATCTGTTTAGTTTAAATAGAAACCACTAGAAAAACCATAGTGTGAAACTCTCCCTGGTCAGGGTGGTACTTGTTGCTAAGCCTCAAACAATAATACCAGGTTACCTGACCACCAAGTTCACAATGCTGTCTAGGAGACCAGGATTTTTTTTGCCAGCTCTCAGTAACTATATCTGGGGGTGGAATGGAGAAAGAGCTGGTAGTGGAATGACGAGAAAGCAGTCAATGAGTAAGCAGTGACTACAGTCATGCATCCCTTAACGACGGACACGTGTTCTGAGAAATGCGTCCTTAGGCAATTTCATCGTCATGTGAGCACCACAGAGTGTACTTAAACAAACCCGGATAGTATAGCCTACCGCACACTTAGACTATATGGTACTAATCTTGCGAGACCACCATGGTATATGCAGTCTATCATTGACTGAAACATCAGTTATGCAGCACATGACTGTCTTCTATTCTTAGTCAAATTGAATGAAAGAATATATTTCTTATCCGGGCAATTTAAGTAGTTCTTTTTAGGCCTGTTTCTAGACTCTCAATGTCCTGGAGAATTGCTAAGGACTGTTGGGTCTAGTACCATGCAGAGATGTGAGAATGGCTTATAAAATCTTGAAGTCTTCCAGTTCCATGTTTAAGGTTGAGTTAGGACAGGTCAAAGTCACACCATCTCCGACAAAGCGTAAGTGTCCTTAGAAGAAGAGATGAGTAAACATGATTATAGGGACCGAAATGTAAATAATTTAACTAAAACTCTGTCAAAGAAAATTTCTCTATAGATAACGAAGAATGGTGGACCATATTCTTCCATCTTCTGCTACCAACCGTAACACACTTAAGAGCGAAGGGAAGAACAGGTATTGAGTCATGTTATCCAACGCTGTGACTGGTGTTTGGTACACACTATTTTATTTAACCCCTATAACAATCCTGCAAAGTAGTCATTCAAATTCCATTTAAAATATGTCAAAATGAAGGCTCAGGTTAATCTATACAAGGGGAGTTGGAACAATTCCAGGCTTCTAATTCCAAAGGAACAGGGAATTAACTTTCAGAGTATGCTATGTGCTCACTCCCTTTATCTGTAATCTTATTGGTTCTCAAAATATCTCCATTTTACAGACAAGTGAACAGAAAGAGGGAGGACAGCTGCCCAAGGTTAGCTACAGAACCAGGAAGAGGCAGAGCTGGCATTCAAATTGAGCTCTGATCCCACAGCCCACAGTCTCCACATTACGGTCTTCTGCTGCCAAGGCCAGGGAGAGCTATCCTGTGCAGTTCTGGAGGGAGACACACGGCATCTTCAACACTGGACTGAAACACCAGACAATCTAAAACTTGAGTCAGAAAAGTGATGATCCTCATGCTTTCCCGACACACACACCTCAACACAATCTCTTAAATTTACTTATTTACTTTCTTTTAATCAGTAATTCAAACCTCCAGGGTCTGAATAACCCAATAAATTGAGCTCACAGCATGGGAGGAAAAGAAACTGTTATGGTAGAAAGACCACCGTTCCAGGAGCCGGGAGGGAAAGGCTCTACCCCTCGCCCTGCGCCTGATTCGCAGTGTCACTGGCTCACGCACAGGGATCTCCAGGATTGTTTCACCACATGTAAACTGGGAGTATTCAAGGCAGAGAATCTTGGAGGCTAACTGTTCACTCTCATACTTTAGAAAACAAATTTTCTTATTAGTGAAGGCCCCAAGTTGCCGTCTTTGGAGTTTACAGACTATGGAGTGGCTGAGCAGGTACTGGTAAGCAGAGTGTACTCCGCCGCAGTGGGCTCTGCGAGCTGGCTTCCCTCGTTCTTTGAGGAGCCCCAGGCAGATCCAGAACAGGAAAGCAAACAGAAATGTGGAGTTACATTTCAGAGGTTTTTATTTTATTTTATTTTATTTTTTTTTAAGATTTTATTTTTTTTTCCTTTTTCTCCCCAAAGCCCCTCGGCACATAGTTGTACATTCTTCGTTGTGGGTCCTTCTAGTTGTGGTATGTGGGACGCTGCCTCAGCGTGGTTTGATGAGCAGTGCCATGTCCACGCCCAGGATTCGAACTGACGAAACACTGGTCCGCCTGCAGCGGAGCGCGAGAACTTAACCACTCGGCCACGGGGCCAGCCCCACAGAGGTTTTTATTTTTTGCCAACTTAAGGATATTAAGAAGCATATTAAAAAATATGGACTATTTCATAAACCATTTGAAATGGTAATATCCCCTGTGTATTACAATAGTAGGCTTTTTCTAATGAATACGGGTTTATTTTTGGTTCTAGAGAAGTTCTTTGTACATCACTGTGGCAGTGCTATGCTGACTTGTTTCCTAGAAACAGTCCTTTCAGTTGTGATGGGAATGACTTGTTCTATGGGTCTGTCCTTACTTATTGTGTGACTCTGGGCAAGGAGCTTTATCTAAGTCTTTCTTTATCTGTAAAGGGGAACTAAAATAACCTAAGTCACAGTGCCGTACATACCAGGGGCTGAAAACGAGGCAGCACAGAGATTAGGAAGAACTGGGCAGAGACTCGGATACAAGCACCGAGTGCTGCCTCTTACCAACTAAGTCGTCCTGGACGGGTGAATTCACTGAAGCCTTACAGTGGGGCTAGGAACTCTTACCTTCTTTTCTTAAAATTAAATGATAATATACTAAAGTAGCTGTTGCATAGTAGCACTAAGCAATTAGTACTTTTATTAATAATTCTATACAATCTAGAAAGCTGCACAAAAGTATTTTCTTACCAAAAAAAGCACTTAACAAGGACATCCAGAAAGCAAGATAACATACAACTTAACACATAAATGGCATCATTTTATAATCTCTTGATATGTTACATGTGATCAGGAAATACTTCAAAATGGCTTACACTGGGTCTTGCTGTAAGGTGATTTCTGGGGCTCTTGAGATCATTTCACAATACTTTTCTTCTAGTATGTTTACGTTTGGTAACAACCTACTATATTTGGTGTTAACAGCTATAGTATATATTTCAATGTGTTAACATACTCAGTTCTAAAACCTACAGAAGAAATTTTGATTAGGCTGCCTAAAGGCTCTTGAATTCAGTTTCTAAATTACATGATGCTGCAAATTGTTCCAAGAAGACATTAGCTTGTAAAATAATTTTCTCTTTCAGAATTCAAGACACATTTAACATATGGATTTTACAATAAAGTTTATTAGCTGTTCTCCTCTTTCTCATAAATGGAATGGATAATGTTGATAATTTTTTACAAACCAGTACTCATTTGTTTAAGAAACTGTAATGAGGAGGTTGTCAAAAACACATATTTAATAAACAACTCCAAAAAAGCAATGGGAAGCCAAACAATATTATTAATATAAAAGACCAGAGAAATTGATTTCTGAAATCGTATCTACCTTTCACTAAAATTTCTTAAAATTGCTCACCATAAAGATCTGTGCAACTCTAGCGCAGAGCAGCTACGAGAGATGAAGAGGTGTGCCGTCTGGGGGAAAACACTCACACACACGAGGCTTTTGCCTGTTTGCCTATTAATGAAAGGAGAACTGGAAGGAGGCAGAGGACCAGATCCAAACCCAATGACAAGAATAAGAGTAACAACAACAAAAAAAACCAGGAGCCATTTGAAAACTTTTGTAGAAAAGAGGAGAACACGCCCATACTTTTACTTGTAATCTAATTTCCCTAAAGGTTTCTTTCCACAACCATCATACCCCTGGTTCTCAGTTCACATGATTAAGGAAGATAAAGTCTAATCAATTAATACTTAATTTAAAAAAACCAAACAAAAAGAGTAGGTGGCAAAAGAAAAAATATATTTTAAATATATATATATGTTTGTGTGTGTGCAACTATGTAAAGAAAATAATTCCCATAGTTACAGAGTTTAAAGAAAGTTTTATATATATTTATATATATATATTTTATTATAACAAAATAGGCAGTTATTGTGGGTAAAATATTCATTAAAATCTGACCCCTAAGAATACATTTAGAGTTTTATTAGGAATTGGACTCCTTTTCCATTGCCATAATGATTATTACGTCACCACTGTAATGTCCGTCTTGTCTGTACTATGTCTATGAAATATTCTCAACCTTACACGTAAAAGGTGAGCTCCCCTAGCACCTAAACATGGCCTCAATTCAGAAAATGTGATGATCATTATGTATCAACAACTTTTGGAAGACACTATAAATAGTGTTGCACAAGTAGATTAAAAACATTTAAACATTGCTATTCCTAGCAAATGTATCAGAAAAAAAAACACTCAAACAATAAAAGACTTTAAGAACTCTTATGAAAAATGAATATCCCTTGTGAAATTATGAAAGTTAACCCAGACATTAATTTTGAAATTAAAAAACATATATTTCCTTATATATTCCTATAATGAAATATTTGCTTTGATAACAGAAGTCAATTGAGAAAGGACTTGAAAGCTAATACATTGGCCAAACCATGCTATTAAAGTTAAGCGTGCATTGTTGCTCAAAGTTTACTAAATCACTGATTAAAACCACTGTTCTTTCATTTATACTGAAATTTGAAAAGAATGTATATAAAGCTTTTCTGAAAATCTCTTAAAGTTACTTTCCCTTAAACATTAAGGAATTCTACCACAATTTCCCCATCTCCCCAAATCCTTAATAGCTGGTCAGGCCATTCCATCTTCAGTTCTGAAAAATGGCCACGAACCAACAGTGATAGAAAATAATACAGATGCTACAACTGGAAGGAGACACTAGATGTCAAAAGTAAGTGTAGCTGCAGACCATGATGAGTGGGATATGGTGCAACACGGGAGGAGTACCGAAGACAGACTCCAGAAGGAAAGGGCAAAGAAGAGTCAAAGAAAATAAGACGGTGGAAAAGAGAAACAGAAACATCAGTCCTCATAACTTTTCTTTTGCTGGAACCCAGATGTAAGGACCAGACTGCTCTTCTATGATCTGCTTCACTTGGTTGTAAATGTCTTCCAGCGTATCTCCCTGTACAATAGCTGTAATGATGGAAACAAAATCAGAAATCTCCATTAATCATCTATCTTCACCACTACAATTATTGGTGAAATAGCATAAGCGAAATCTTAGAAACAGTTACTCATCCAGAAGAGACACCATTTACATATTGTTTGCTTAGTAAAAACTGCTCATTTCATTAATTTTCTTATTTGAAAAATATAAACATTTTTATTTTAAAAATTGATCAAAAAGTAGGACTTGGTGATTTTTACTTTGTGTATTGGGGAAATACACACTAAAGTATTTAGAGGCAAACAAAAGGGCATCTGTCTGCAACTTACTCTTAAATGTTTCAGAAAAAAATCATAAATGTGGTAAAATGTTAACATCTGGGGAACATGGCTGAAGAGTGTATGAGACTTGCCAGTACCATTCCTGTGATTTTTCTGTAAGTCTGAAATTATTTAAAAAAAAAGAAAAAAGAAAAAAAGCATAGGGGTTACCCTACCACGATACTCATGGTACTCAGTGTGAACACCAAGTATAAGCTGATCATTATTTCAAACAAACAAATGACAATAACAAAAACTTGTCCAAATGTATCAAAGGAATAATTTAAAGGACAAAATGAATGAGACAAGATTGTTTGGGAATTGCTGCCCACTCTTTCCTTTTTAAACAAATAATATTTTAAAATGGGTCAAAATTTACAAAGGATAAGAGAAAAGTCAGTTTCATGGAAGAAATCTGGTCTGACTCTATTTTTCTCCCATCAGGTATGAATTATTCCTATACATGCTGTCCTAATCAACAATTTAAGAGACAACAAATTTTAGGATTCCCCATCACCCTGCCTAGCTTAAATGAATTATTCTGAAAATGACAGGACTAATTACTACTAATCACTACTGGTAGCTGTGGGCATAGTTCAAAATCCATTTCAATGCATCAGTTCATATTGTTCCAAAGCAAAATTCTACCATTAAGGGCACTGCCACACATGATGCCAACCTGTGAAATGTTCAGTAAATTCTTGCTCCAGTTTCATGGCTCTCTCAAACGTCTTTCTGGCCTGTTCTTCTGTTAGACGCTTATTCATTTCCCTGGACAAATACATTTAGACATTGGTAATTACTACACTACGATACTTTTTGAAAAAAGATGACAAAGGAGAGAAGACACACAAAAAAAATCACGAAAAGTTGAGCTCTGTTGAAAATACGTCATTAAAAACAAGATTCAGTCACTAAATATATAGCTTTATACCTCGGAATGACAGAAGGGTTTCAACACAATTTTGCATTGGCTCAACGCAGCCAAAAAAACTACGCATGAATTTGACAGTTTTGACTTTGATGAAAGTTTCATATTAAACTATGACATGCAGATCTACCTATTAATTTATAGACAATAAAGGGGACACATGAAATTATTAAACAACACTGAGATGGCAATCAGCAAAATACAGTCTGGGGAAAACTCTGCAGAAGAAGAGAGATGGAGGAAGAAGCTATAGATTAAAAGACTTAATTGTCATGAACAGACCTTATTTGGAACTTGATTCAAACAAACAAATAAAAAAAAACATAAACAAAACTAACGAAACAATCAGGAAAATAATTATCTGATGATATAAAAAGATTTTTGCTCTAAGTATGATGACACAGTAATGTTTTTAAAGAAGGAATTCTTATCTGTAAAATATATACTGAAATGGATGACATGATATAATATCTTGGATTTGTTTCAAAATAACCTGGAGTGGAAGGGTAAGGAGGTGGGGGATGGATGAAACAAGATTGGTCACAGCTGTTGATTACTGTTCTTGCTGATGATGGGTATATGGGAGTTTGTTCCCAACTTAAGAGGGAAAGTTTTCAATACTTCACCATTAAATACGACGTTTGCTTTGATATTTGATAGATGACATTCATCAGATTAAGGAAAGTCCCTTCTATTCACAGTTTACAAAATGCTTTTGTCATGAATGGATGCTAATTTTATTGAATGCTTTTTTTGCATTTATTAAAATGACCATATGCTTTTATTCTTAAAATCTGTTAATGAGGTACACTACACTGATTTTTAAAAGTTAATTAAAAACTGTGGTAAAATGTACATAACACAAAAGTTACCACTTTAACCTCTTCTAAGTGTATAGTCCAGTGGCATTAGTAACTTCACATTGTGCAACCACCACCACTATCCATCCCTACAGTTCTTTTCATGTCGTTAAACCAAAACTCCATACCTATAAAACATGTCTCCCATTCTTGCCTCCCCTCAATCCCTGGCAACCACCATTATACTTTGTCTCTATGATTCTGACTACTCTAAGCACCTCACGTAAGTGGAATCCTAAGTATTTGCCTTTTTGTGGCTGGCTTGTTTTTTTTTTTAAAGATTTTATTTTTCCTTCTCCTCAAAGACCCCCAGTACCTAGTTGTATATTTTAGTTGTGGGTCCTCCTATTTGTGGCATGTGGGATGCTGCCTCAGCATGGTTTGATGAGCTGTGCTAGGTCCTCGCCCAGGATCTGAACTGGTAAAACCCTGGGCCACTGAAGCAGAGCGCACAAACTTAACCTCTCAGCCACGGGGCTGGCCCCTGCGGCTGGCTTTTCACTTAGCATAATGTCTGCAAAGTTCGTCCATGTTGTAACATATTGCAGAATTTCCTTCCTTTGTATGTATAGACCACATTTTGCTTATCCATTCATCCACTGATGGACACTTGGGTCTCTTCTATGTTTTAGCTCTTGTGAATAATGCCACTATGAGAACATGCGTGTCTTTTCAAGACCCTGCTTCCAATTCTTTTGGGTATATACCCAGAAGTGGAATTGCTGGATCATACGGTAGTTCTATTTTTAACTTATTGAGGAATCACCATATTATTTTCACAGTGGCAGTACCATTTTACATTCCCACCAACAATGCATGAGAGTTCCAATTTTTCCACATCCTCACCAGCACTTGTTTTCTGGTTTTTTTTTTTTTTTGATAGTAACCTTTCTAATGTGTCTGAGGTGGTTGTCTCATTGTAATTTTGATTTGCATCTCCCTAATGATTAGTGATGTTGAACATCTTTTTATGTGCTTGTTGCCCATTTGTATATCTTCTTTGGAGAAATGTCTATTCAAGTCCTTTGCCCATTATGAATCAAGTTGCTTGGTTTTTTGTTAAATTTTAGGAGTTTTCTATACATTAATCCCTTATCACATAGATAATTTGCAAATATTTTCTCCCATTTTGTGGGTTTCCTTTTTACTTTGCAGATAGTATCTTTTGTTTTTTTTTTTTTTTTGAGGAAGATTAGCCCTGAGCTAACTACTGCCAGTCCTCCTCTTTTTGCTGAGGAAGCCTGGCTCTGAGCTAACATCCGTGCCCATCTTCCTCTAGTTTATACGTGGGACGCCTACCACAGCATGGCTGCCAAGCAGTGCCATGTCCGCACCCGGGATCCGAACCAGCGAACCCCGGGCCGCCGAGAAGCGGAATGTGCGAACTTAACCGCTGCGCCACCGGGCCGGCCCCCTGCGGATAGTATCTTTTGATGCACAAATTTAAAAAAAATTTTAGGAAGTCCAATTTGTCTTTTTTTCTTTTGTTACCTGTGCCTTTGGTGTCATATCCCAGAAATCATGGTCAAATGCAAAGTTGTGAAGCTTTTGTGCTATGCCCTCTCCTAAGAGCTTTATTGTTTTAGGTTTTACATTTAGGTCCTTGATCCATTATGTGTTAATTTTTGTATATGGTGTTAAGTAAGGGTCCACCTTCATTCTTTTGCACATGGATATCCAGTTTTGCCAGCATCAGTTGTTGAAAAGACTGTCCTTTACCCCATTGAATAGTCCTGCATCCTTGTCAAAAATCAACTGACCATTTATGTGAGGATTTATTTCTGAGCTCTCTAATTCTACTCCATTGGTCTGTATATCCGTCTTTATGCCAGTATCACACTGTTTTGATTACTGTAGGTTGGTAGTAAACTTCGAAATCAGAAAGCGTGTGTCTTCCAGTTCTTTTGTTCTTTTTAAAGATTATTTTGGCTGTTTGGGGTCTCCTGAGATTCCATACAAATTTTAGTATGGGTTTTTCTATTTCTGCAAAAAATGTTACTGGGATTTTGACAGGGATTGCACTGAACCTGTATATCACTTTGGGTAGTACTGACATTTTAACAATATTAAGTATTTTAATCCATGAACATGGGAGGTGTTTCCATTTAATTATATTGTCTTTAATTTCTTTCAGCACTATTTTCTAGTTTTCAGCATGCAAATCTTTCACCTCCTTGGTTAATTCCTAAGTATTTTATTCCTTCTGATGCAGTAAGTGAAACTGTTTTTATAATTTCCTTTTCAGATTGTTCACTGTCCATATATAGAAATGCAACTGTTTTCTTTGTGTTGACTTCGTGTGCTGCTACTTTGAAGAACTTATTAGTTCTGATAGTTCTTATATGGAGTCTTTAGAATTTTCTACAGATAAGATCGTATCATCTGCAAACAGTCGTAATTTTATGTCTTCCTTTCCAATTTTGGATGTCTTTTTTTTCCTTGCCTAACTCCTCTGGCTAGAACTTCCAGTACTATGTTGAATAGAACTGGTGAAAGCGGCATCCTTGCCTTGTTCCTCATCTCAGAGGAAAAGCTTTGTGTTTCATCAACAAGTATGAAATTTGCTGTGGATTTTTCATACATGGCTTTTATCAGGTTGAGGTAGTTTCCTTCTACTCCAATTTTGTTGCGTGTTTTTATCATGAAAGTGTGTTGGATATTGTCAAGTGCTTTTTCTGCATCAGTTGAGATGATTGTGTGTTTATTCCCCTTCACTTGTTGATGTTGTGTATTATATTGATCGATTTTCTTAAGTCAAACTGTCCTTGCATTCCAGGAACAAATCCCACTTAGTCATGGTGTATAATCCTCTTAATATGTTGGTGAACTCTATTTGCTAGTATTTTGTTGAGGATTTTTGCATCAATGTTCATAAGGGATAGTGGTCTGCAGTCTTCTTTTCTTGTGATATGTCTGTATGACTTTTGTATCAGGACAATGCTGGCCTCTTAGAATGAGTTGGGAAGTGTTTCTTCCTCTTCAAAGTTTGAGAAGAATTGACATTAATTCTTTTAATGTTTGGTAAAATTCACCAGTGAAGCCATGGGCTTTTCAAGGTCCCGGGCTTTTCTTTGCTGGGAATTTCTGATTACCAATTCAATCTCCTTACTAGTGATAGGTCTATTCAGATTTCCTATTTCTTTGTGAGTTAGTTTTGTAGGTTTTGTTTCTAAAAATTTGTCCATCTATGTTATCCAATTTTTTGGCGCACAACTGTTCATAGTGTTCTTATAACCCTTTTTATTTCTGGAGAATTGGTAGTAATGTTCCCACTTTAATTTCAGATTTTAGTTATTTGAGTCTTTTTTTCTTAGTCCATCCAACTAAAGATTTGTCATTTTCTGCTGATCTTTTCGAAGAACCAACTTTTGGTTTCATTGATCTATTTCTCGTTTTCTATTCTCTATTTTGTTGATCTCTGCTCTAATCTCTATTTCCTTCCTTCTGTTAGCTTTGATTTAGTAGGTTTTTTCCCCCTAGTTCCTTAATTGTAAAATTAGGTTGTTGATTTGAGGTCTTCCTTGTTCTTTTTTTTATAACATAAATACCTATAAACTTCCCCCTTACCACTGCTTTTGCTGCATCTTGTAAGTTTTGGTACGTTGTGTTACTGTTTTCATTCGTCTCTAAGTATTTTCTAATTTCCCTTGTGATTTCTTCTTTGATCCACTGATTGTTTAAAAGTGTGCTGTTTAATTTCCACAAATTTGTGCATTTTCCAGTTTTACTTTTGTTATATTGATTTCTAACTTCATCCTGTTATGATCAGAAGATATTTTTATGTTACCTATCTTTTGATATCTACAGAGACTTACTTAGTGGGCTAACACATGATCTATTCTGGAAAATGTCCCATGTGTACTTAAGAAGAATGTATATTCTGTGGTTGTGGGGTAGAGTGTTCTGTATGTCTCTTAGGTCTAGTTCGTTTACTGTGTTGTATAAGTCCTCTATTTCCTTACTTATCTACTGTCTGGTTG